TTCTTAGTATAACAGTGACTTTCTTCTTCTTCTTTTTTTTTTTTTTTTTTTTGGTTTATCCTCACCCGAGGATATTTTTCCACTGATTTTTAGGAATAGTGGAAGATAGAGGGAAAAACAGAAACATCGATGTGAGAGAAACACATCTATTGGTTGCCTCCTGCACGTACCCTTGACCAGAATCAAACCCAGGACCCTTTGATCCGCAGCCAATGCTCTATCCACTGACCCAGACCAGCCAGAGCTGGCTGTGTTATTTTAGGTGACTCTGGATTGTGTTTGACCCTTCCCTTTCCGTTGGACTTTCCTGGCACTGCTTCAGTGGGGAAAGGGGAGTCCCTCCCTGCCTTTTATTTTTAGGTGGAGGTGGAAGTGCAGGCCCCCCACTTGGCCATGATTGACACCTCAGGTGGGAAGTGCCTGTGTGGGGTGCAGGGGAGTTCAGCTTTCCATATGTCCCCCTCTGACATCGCCCCAACAGGGAGAGTGAGGAGGCCTATTACCTGCTGGGTGGGAATAGAAGTCCTAGCTCCCTGCCTGGCCTCCTGACACCTCCCTGGCCGGGGTGCTGGGGCGCCTCTAGCAGGCGGGGTGGAAGTGTAGACTTTGTTGGCATGGTGGGAGTGGGCTCCATCTCTTCTGTGGTGTCTGGCTGGAGTAGGGTGGTTATTGTCTGAGAGTTTCTGTCTTGCCAGGCTGTTCCTTCCCTGGCTCTTTGGCTCGAGAAAGCAGGCTTTTCTCTTGGCCCGTTGACATGTCCAGGTTGCCTGCTCCTCCAGTCCCCCCTCTGGGACAGGGAGGCAAAAAGAAAACCAGGGCATGCGCCTCCTTATCGTTTCTTGGGTCCTGAAGTGTCCATCTTGCCTGCCTTCTCTTCACTTTCAGAGTCTTCTCCGTTTCGTCTTCTATCCAATGCCCCCGGTTTTATTTGTACTTAGGATAGGGAAGTTATGTCGCCCATATTCCAGGAAGGAGAGGTTTCAGGGAACCGTTTTTGGGAAAGGCTTTGGGTTGAGTCCAACCCGACTCTTTCCAGAGAGGAGCCGGAAAGAGGCACAGCCTCTGCTGTATTGGGCCGGTGAGGGAAGCTGTTGAAGCAGAAGGGAAGCAGGCCAGGGGTGCTTTCATGTGGTGGCTTTTCCATGGGGGTTAGGCCATGTGCTTTCTCCAGGGTCGCCTGCTTGAAACAGAGCTCAGTCCTTCTTCAGTTCCATACAGCTCAGCTTGGATCCTCATTATCCACAACAGATACCTGCTTCTCCTGCACGCTCCCCATCCCGCAAAAACACAAACAACCAAAAAACAGCCACCCAGCCAGAGAATAGCACTAGCTGCATGAGTGATAGAGCATGTCCCCTGGGCTAGCTTCCTTGGGAGGTCTGCATTTCAAGTTGTTAGGGGTTTTCAGGAAGGAAATGCCTTCCATCTACCGGAGGCCTCGCCCAGGAAAGAAGGTGAGGATTGAGAGGGGTGACTGCTGCCTCACAGAACTGCTGGGAGCCTCCAGTCCGCGGGGACAGGCTCTGCTGGGTACTCCTAGGTCAGTGATGGCGAACCTATGACACGCGTGTCAGAGGTGACATGCGAACTCATATTTTTTGGTTGATTTTTCTTTGTTACATGGCATTTAAATATATAAAATAAATATCAAAAATATAAGTCTTTGTTTTACTATGGTTGCAAATATCAAAAAATTTCTATATGTGACACGGCACCGGAGTTAAGTTAGGGTTTTTCAAAATGCTGACATGCCGAGCTCAAAAGGTTCGCCGTCACTGTCCTAGGCCTACCAACACAGTGGGCTCCGCTGTTGGCATTAGGTACTCTGAGAGGTATAGGGAGAAGCACTTGCTGAGCCAGGTGGCCGGGTTGGGATGACAGGTGCTCTGAGAGGGGTGTCCTGGTGTCTGGCTCTTCTGGCTGTGGACTGGGTTGCAGAATCTGGTGTTCTCAGTAGAAACTGCTCTGCACTACTAGGTTGTCTCCCCTATTTCCCCACACGTGCAGTCATTCCTGTCGCGTGCCTGTGCCCACAGAGCCCTCCTGTCCCAGGCCATCCTCCTGTTTGTGGGAGGGGGTGGCAGGGAGGCTTACATCCTTCACAGTCAGATCTGCTCCATCTGCTCCCTTGCTGTCGCCCAGCGGACGCCTGGTGGTTCTTGTTGTCATTCAGCTGTGGGTACCAAGTCAACCCTTAGGTGCTTCTTGCTCCACCTCTTCTCTCTCAGGCCAGTGCCTGCTGCCTGTTGCTCCCCTCTGGCCTCTAGGTCATTCCACCTCCCTTCCTACAAACCAATGGACTGGGTTGTTACTGCCTTTTGAAACTTTGTTCTGGGTCTCTTTGAATTAAGTTTCCCAAATCTGGAGGGGTTGAGAAGGGGGGCAGGGTCACTTGAAAACTTTCCCAGATATGGCCTTCTCAGGTGCGAGAGACAGATTCATGAACTTAAATTCTTTTGGACTGTGAACCCACAAAAATAGGAGCAGTTTCTTATTTATCTCTGCTTTCCCATCGCCTGACACAGGCCTTGGTAGAGTGCTTTAACAGTTTTATTGCGATAACATTCACGTACTGTGTAACTGACCCATTTAAAGTGTACAATTTGATGATTTTCAGTATATTCCCAGAGGTGTGTACCCATCACCACAATTGATTTTAGAACATATTCATCATCCCCAAAAGAAGCCCTGTACCTTTTTGCTGTCACCCCCCAACTTCTATCCCCCAGCCCAAGGCACCCACTAATCCACCTCCTGTCACTGATTTGCCTTGGTACATGTTCTTGATCGAGGGTTACCTGCCTCCCATCCTGTTCCTCCTCCCGGAGCAGGTGTTTCTTGCCCTGGTCCTCCATTGGCCCAGCCTTCCCATGTTTCAGGACAACCTGCACACCTGGAAAGGTACCCTTTGGAGTGCTCTGTAGAAGGAAGTCATAGCCAAGCAAGTGGATGCTGGCAGGCTCCCCGGTGTACAGCACATGGGGCTGTGCACACAGTAGGCCTGAGTAGACATTTGTTGAGTGAATAATGACACTGATGGTGGGCCGGGATGAAACAGTGGCTGGGTTCTGAGGGAATTGTGCCAGTCCTTCAGGTCTCCCACTGTCCCTTTCAGGGACAGGTCCAGTAAATATAGCAGATAGTGGGAAGGTACCTCAGAGCCCTGCACCCAGAGACTAGGAGGGTGGTATACAATTAAAGCTAAGCAGAAATGGGAGATATGACTGTGGTCCAACCTTCCGATGTTACAGATCAGAGAACTGTAGGCTGAGAGCAAAGTGAGGATTCACCGGGCCCAGGAGACCCACCCTAACGCTGACCTCTCCATCCTTCGTGCTCTGCTCTCCCAGGCAGATTTATTTCCTCACCCAGGTCATGGCCCTCCTGAGATGTGTCTCTAACCCTGGTTCCCTGCCAGCACCCACTCAGTGTTTCATCAAAGCCAGCCTCTCAACTTCCTTCCTCCAGCCCACTCCATATCCCTTGCCCAAAGCCCCTTGTACCTGCTCTGTTTATGTCCATGGGGAAAAGCCAGTGTTTCCCTTAGGGGCCTTGAGGACCCTGCAGAAGCTAAGAAAAAAGAGTGTTCTTGTCTCATCCAGATGCTGTGTGACCTCTGGCAAGTAACCTTCCCTTTCTGAGTCACAGATTCCACAGCTCTAAGATGAGGTGGTGTGACAGGGCCTCCCAGTTTGGAGACTATTAAATAAAAAGCATCTTAGGAGGGCCTCAAAGGCTCACCCAGAGATCAGTCTTTATATGTAAAGTAGAGGTGGGTTTTACTTTGTGTTACAGCCCTCCAAAGGATAGTGGACAGATAGGCCTGCGCATGCCTTTTCCAACCCCTTCTCACTCTCTGTGGTGGCTAAGACGGGAGGCAGAGCCAGAGGATCTGTCTGGACCTTTTAGTTCATGTTGAACTCCTACTGCCAGGGTCTCAGATGAGGGGGACTCTTTGAATATAAAAATATAATAATAACTAACATTTATTAAGCACTTGGAGGCCAAATACTGTACTCAGTATTTTTTCCTCAGTTTTATTATTATTATTATTTTTGTTTGTTTTTCAGAGAGGAAGGGAGAAGGAGAGAGAGATAGTAACATCAATGATGAGAGGGAATCATTGCTCGGCTGCTTCCTGAATGCCTCCTTCCCCCGACTGGGGATCGAGCCCACAACCCAGTCATGTGCCCTGACCAGGAATAGAACTGCGACCTCCTGGTTTATAGGTTGATGCTCGACTACTGAGCCACGCCCAGCCAGGCTCAGATTTTTTCTTTTTTTTAAATAGGGTTCACACACCATAAGATTAAAGTGTATGATTCAGTAATTTGTAGCATATTCACAAGTTCATGCAATCGTCTCTGCTATCTAATTCCAGAACATTTTCATCACCACAAAAAGAAACTCATACGTGTTAGTGTTCACTCCCATCTCTTGTTTCCTCCATGTCCTAGCAACACTAACCTGCTTTCTGTTTTTATGGATTTACTTATTCATATGAATGGAATCATACAATATGTCTGAGGTCTTTTGTGTCTGTCTTCTCACACTTAGCATAATGTCTTCATGTTGTATGTCAGCACTTTGTGCCTTTTTATTGCTGAATAATATTCTATTGTATGGATATACCAGGTTTGTTTATCCATTCATCTGTTGATAGTTATTAAAATGGTATTACCTTTTAGTCATTGTTTGTAGTGCTGCTGTTAATATTCATGTCCAAGTTTTTATTTAAGCACCTGCTTTCAGTGTTCTTGAATGTGTATACTTAGGAATGGAATTCTGGGTGCCATGGAATTCTGCGTTTAACCTTTTGGGAACTGGCAGCCTGTTTTCCACAGGGGCTCCACCATTGTATGCTCCTTTGCATTATCTCATCCATCCTCACATAAGCGTCATGGGGTCCAGGTATAATCATCACCCATCCCCCTCCCTTTCAAACGGGGGAGTTGAGACTCAGAGGGTTTTCAGTCCAAGGTCATACAGCCACTAATACGATGACTCTTTGGCCAGTGCTAGCTGTGATCACTAAAGCAGTGTCTCTTCTCCCAGACCCTGGTTTGACCATCAGAGTGAGGGCTTTGACTCTGTTGTTCATGTGCTATAGCTAGTGCTGGCACACATTGGCACTCACATGGCTTTTGAAGAAAATGCCATTTTTTCCTGATCTTGGTAGCGTGATCCGGAACTGGAGAGAGGCATCTGTTTCTTAGGAGTTCCTAAACTCTGCACTTTCTCAGCTTCCTGCTGGGTGTTGTGCTCCACTCTTCATACCCGATGCTGTAGACTTCCTATGAGCCTCTGTGTCCAATATCTTTCTTGGAGACTCAGCCTGTGGTTGGGGGATGAGCTATGTGGAATATGCTAAGCAGAGGTGACTTCTATTTCTCCTAAGTGCTTGTCATTAATTTGACTGAAACTTGTTCTCGTTCGTTCTCTCTCTCTCTCTCTCTCTCTCTCTCTCTCTCTCTCTCTCTCTGAATTTTGCAGTCTATGAAATTCATGTATTTTATTTCAATCATCTCTAAACTCCAATGATTTCCCCCCTCCTTGCTTCCTGAATTATCACGAAAAGTACAGCGGATTGATGACCTGCCCTTTTCTCCTCTAGGCAAAACCCATTTATGGTGGCTGGCTGCTCTTGGCTCCAGATGGGACTGACTTTGACAATCCAGTACATCGGTCTCGGGTAAGGGAACCATGAACTCCTGGGGTGGGAGGGACCAGAGAGGGGCATACTGACAGAATGGGAGAGGGAGATGCAGAATTGACAGCAGGTTAGGGGGTGGTTGGGTCTACAGGGAACCCCCATTTGGCAGACTTGGCGTACCCACAGGAAACGTCTCAATTACACGTAGTTAAATCTGATGCTCCCTTCACAATGAGAAGCTCTCACATGGTGCTGCTTGCGTCATAGCTCAGCTTTGATTCTAGAAATAGTTCAATGGAAAAGGAAAAGTCAGAAGGGCAGTTCAGCCAATGTTTGCAGGTCTGGTACGTAGGCGCCCAGTTCCTTCAGTGCCAAGGCCCTGCCTCCTGCAGCTCCCTTCTTTCCTCTCCTCCCTTCCTCCCTTGCCAGGGACTCAGCACATAGGCACTAGGAAAGGGAGGAGGCCCAGCCCCTTGGTCCCTGCTGTGCACAGGCTGCTGGAGCAGTGAGATGGTCAGACCAGCCTTGCCCCTGACCAGAGGTTTTTATTCCTCTGCCAGGGATCCCCATTGGATTTAACTTCAATTAAAATACCCTCTTTCCTTTTCCACATGCTTTTTCCTGGTGCTGCTGCCTGTACCCTATAAATTTCTCCAACTTTGCTCCTCTTACCACCTGCTCACTCAGAGAGCCTCTGGCCTGTCTCGGTCTCTGCTGCCCCAGCCTGAATGCTATAGTCCAGGACAGGGCTTGTGGGCCTCACAGACCTCGTATTGGGTCTGGGTCCTTTGGGAATCCTTCTAGAATGGCTTTGTCTTTAGAAACTACAAATAGTGCCTTGGAAATGTTTCTTGGGAGGAGTTTCTCCCTAGACACGCAATGTGGATCAGTCCTCTACGGTCCTCTTTATAAGGCTCTGTTAGTGTCCTGTTCCTGCCACCAGGTGGGAGAGCTGTGCTTTAATGTCTGCAGCAACCATTTATATTGAGGTCATACAGAACTGCTTCTAATGGGAAGTCATTCATATAAATGATGTAATTCTGGCCCAAAGCAAAGAGACATGATGTTTTAGTTAGTTCTTATGGCCTTATTGCCAGTAAAAGTATGAATTATGTTGGGCTTTTTGAAATGTTGAAAACGGGTCATGGATCCTCATGAAGGAGGCACATACCCTTGTGGTCCTTTTTATTCCACTGTCAGTGCCATTGGACCACCCTTGTCCCAGTGCCTGGCCTTTGGTTGGAGAGGAGAGGGCACCCTGCCAGTCGCATGCTCCCTGGACATCGGTGTCAGTTGTTCCCACTCATCAGTTTTTGTTAGCTCACTTCTTAGTACTCGAGCTGGCTGTCTCTTTCCCGGTCTCCCATTCCCTGTGGATCATTGGAACAACCTCTTATAGCAGTTTCCTATGTTTTCTCAGAGGTGGGGGATCAGAGCTTGGTGTTCTCAGGTTATTCCATATCGTGTCAGATAATTCATAAAGTAAACACTGACACATACCATGTGGTAAGCTCTGTGCTGGGTACATAGAGAGTGCAAAAAGGTGATCAAGACATTTCTGCTCCCGAGGAGCTTGCAATTAAAATGAACAGACATCTTGTTAATTCTCAGTAACGTGTATGGAAGCATACTGGGTGGCTTGGGCTTCTCGGGCCCGGTCCTGGAGAATAAGTCACTGTTCTCCCACCTGAGATCCCTCCTTTCCTGCCATCCGCCTCAGAAATGGCAGCTGTGGAAGCAGCATTCTTTAAATACAGCTTTGTCAGATACCGGGGCTCAGCAAGGGGAGATCAGGGCCAGCACCCTCCTAAACACCCACTCCGTGTTCCTTTGCAGAAATGGCAGCGGCGGTTCTTTATCCTCTACGAGCATGGCCTCCTGCGCTACGCCCTGGATGAGATGGTGAGTGTCCTCCTTGGCCCATTCCTCGTCTCCAGCTTCGCCAGGCCACTTCATTGTGGCTGCATTTGCTCATCATCTATGAGCACAGCAACTGTGTACTCTCACTTGGGCTTCTGTTTTGGAGCCTGGAATTTTTGAAAAACTTGTGGCAACAGTAGAGCTGACCCTTAAAACCTAGACCCTTTGGTTTGAGGCATCTTAAGTGGTCATGGGTGAGAGTCAGTGGTGTGGGAGGAAGTCACTTCTATCCACGGCTTCTAGGGGTTGGACTTGGCCATAGCACTCCTAGTAGAAGTGGAGCAGGCTGTGGACCTGCAGGGCAGATGGGAGGCTGGCTGTGCTGTACATGTGGAAGTTGGGCACATGTGTTCACCTTCTATAGTCCCAAGACTGCCCCTCAGTTCCATGGCTGTAATTGGTCTTGCTCATCCAACTGATCTGCAGAAGTTTCCTGGTTGTCATTGTTCTTCTAGTCACTAAGCCAGGGCATGCAGGTCCTTCTTGCCCTGTCACCCCCTAGTTTGCTTCCTGCTTCCTGGACTGGATGAGTGTTTATTGCTCTTGGTCTAGAGGCAAACTTGAAAACCAACCAGGTAGAATGTTCTGGCTTTCCTTTTTCTACCCATTTTGTGTACTGATTTTTTTCTCTAAAGGAGATTGGTCTCCTGACTAAAGTATGGCTGAATTCCAAGCTCTATAAAGGGTTGGAGATGGAGAATTTGAGCTCTTTTCCGGTTCCATTTGAGTATGTGAATGTGAGTGTATTCATTTGTACAGCATTTTTAAATTGGGATTATCCTATAAAATCTGGTCACACCATGTAAAATAGATTAACCCCATCCCTTTGCAGGAAGGGTGAAAGCAGGGTCTAGAGGTGTGAGCAGAAATGACTGTCTACCCAAGCACCTCCGACTATGTGGACACTTGGGTTTTAGGGTGGTTATTACAGCTAATTGGTGAATATAAGTGGGTTCACTTCCACACGTGGGTCCCAATCTTTGTACTGTGATGCTTTCTCTATTTTGTTTCTGGGATGAATTAATAGGTATGATATCTAGTGTGGAATTAGTAGGTATGACACTTAGTTCTTTATTGACTATCACCTCGTTGGTTTCTTCTTAAAAAGAACTTTCTTCCTTCTCATTCTTTCTGTGAGCATATTTGTACATTGTGGATGGGCCACAGAGGGTTTTTACCACGGAAACATCTGTGATCCAGAGTGATTTGAGGTGACTGGGTTGGAGGTGAGTGCTAATGGGGTGATGGGACTCGCTAGGGAGCAGGGAAACTGATTTCACTGGACACTCGTTTCCTTTAAGGAAAGGAGGCAGGTGTGGAAGCAGAGCCAGTGCTCCCCATGAGTTCTCCCAACTTGGCTGTGGTGCCTGCAGGGGCGCTGGAGCGGGAGCCCGGCTGCTAAGAGCCTGGAGGTTCACTGTGTCCTCCCCTCTGCCCGTGACCTGTTCAGAAGCTCTGCGAAGACTAGCAATTAGAGAAGAGCCTCAGAGGTTACTGGGTTATATGCAGACCGGGCTGGGCAATGAGTTCCCTGGACTTTCCTTGCACATTGATGCTTCTGGTCAGGAGCTCTTCCTGTGGGTCTAACTGGAGTCCAGCACAATTCATTATTCCCTGCAGCTCAGAGGCACAGGCACCAAGAGGGTGGCTACTGGGGACGCCTTTGTGTGGGCACAAACGCAGAGCACATGCTGCATCCCAAGAGCTGTTGAGCCCTGAGGACTGACACCTTGCAGTACAATTTGGTCTCCCAGCAACCTGGATGCTGGTTGGGCAGAAGTGGAGCTGTGCTAGTGACGTGAGAAAAGAAAGAAGCCTCAGCAAAAACTTGGACTGCAGGGAGGGCATTGGGGGAATGCCCAGAGTTGAGAGTTTTGGGCCATGGGCCACTTTCTGGCAGATGACCTTGGAGCTAAAGACCCTGTGAGCCAGTTAGTGCTGATCTGCCCAAACTGTGGGTGGTACAGATAGACTGCCTCTCCAGGGAAGAAACTGGCATTATTTCTATGAGTGAAAAAACAGCCGTGGCAGTTGTTTTGAAATACCTTTAAAGCTACATTTCACATGTAAGGATTTTCCCTTATGTATGGGCAAGGTTGCAAGGAAGCGTCTGGGTTGCACTTACAAAGAGGCTGAGTGAAGGGGCAGTCAGGTGCCAGCGGCCCATGGTCAGCATCATCGACCATTGCCATGGGGCTTCTAGGCGGGCACCTGTTTCCCGCGGTTTGTATCAGGCCTTGTTCTTCATGGCCACTTCCCGGATGAGCGTGATCCAGAATCTCAGAGCTCCAGCCCAGAGGTCAGTTTTCCTGAAGCTTGGAGTCCCCGCCTCACCCGGGCAGCAGGAGCCCTGAGACCTGGAGCAGAGCTTTTCAGACAGCATGTGTGTGCATGAATTCTAGCCATGCTGGAGGTCTTCTCAGCAGGGACCACAGTGCCTCTGAGGGCCCCCTGTCTGGAGTCATCTTTGATTCTCACAGCTGTGTGGAGAGAAGGGGTTGCTACTGGCCCTGGTAGGTAGAGGCCAAGGGTGCTGCTCCATGTGCTTTGATGCACAGAACAGCACCCCGCACAGCAAGAGTGTCTGGTTCCAGAGGTCAGCAGTGCCAAGGCTTAGAAACTGTGAGATCTTGTCAATGACTTACTTAAATTTTTAAAAATGAAAACATGAATTGTTGTCATCCTTGTTCTTAAAAGATACGGAAGGACTCAGCCATCAGATTTTCTGGGAATGAGAGAGGTGATGGGGCAGGGTTAGCCTGCTGGCTGGTAATGGTAAGTGCCAGGCAAGGAATAGGGGTGGGCCTGTTTCTGGTATGAAGGGGTATCTGTGAAGTGTCCCTGCATATCAGGTGACCACAAGGCTAGCAGAACTGCATAGGTGTGGCTTTTACCCAGGGAGCATAGGTACCACTTCCTGTGGCATGCTCAGGCCCTCCTGCCTGGACAGTGGCCCTACTCAGTGTGGTCTCCAAGCCTAGCAGCTCTGAGCTGCCAGTAGCCACCATTGATGCTACCACTTCTGCCAAGCTTCGCTCCATAGACCGCCCGCCCCCTAGACCTCCATAGTTAATCTGCATGTATTAACTTTTGTACCATTTTATGGCTGGGCTGTTCCCTTAACACTTAGTCACAATCTCTTTCAAATTATCACTTGACTTTTATACAATATTACTATTTGTTTTAATTTGTTTAAATGTTATCTTACCAACTAGATTGTGATGTGTGTGTTTTTTTCATTGTTGGGCCCTAATTTTTATTTTTTATTGATTTCAGAGAGGAAGGGAGAGGAGAGGGAGAGATAGAAACATCAATGATGAGAGAGAATCATTGATTGGCTGCCTCCTGCACACCCACACTGGGATCGAGCCCACAACTCGGACATGTGCCCTGACCGGGAATCGAACCCTGACCTCTCAGTTGCACTTGGGAAATTTCTTTTCCTTTTTTGGGAAAATTGTCTCAACCACTGAGCCACACCAGCTGGGCTTGGGCCCTAATTCTTGGTATCTTTCTGCATTGTCTGGCCTGAGGTTTATATGGTAGAGACCAGTAAATATTAGTTGAGTTGAACTACCCCCCTTTGTAAATGCATTGTTGCAGAATTTCTGCTTTCAGTTTGAGAAGGTAGGAGCTGGGGTGCTTTTGGGAGAGGGGTTAGGTGTGTTGTGTGTGCAACTCTTAATGGGTTCCTTAGCAGAAGGAAGAACGCCCTCCAGAGGGCTCTGGAGAACCAACGGCGGCGGGCGGGGGAGGGCTGGTCTGGGCCCCTCACTGGGACCAAGAGGGACCCAGCAGTCGCTGTGGCTGCCAGCAGTCCCAGCAGAGAGGAGGGCTCAGCCCCTGGGTGGTGTCTGCCTCCGCACTGCTCCGAGAGGCCTTTCTGCTGGGCTGGGCCCTCAGGACTGGCTGCTGCCTTTCTCTGCTGGTGGCTCTGAGTTGGGACTAACGTTCGGGAATCACTTTTTCTTATTTGGGAAGTTTTTTCTGACTGTACCCACGTACCCTGTGATTCGGTGTGGAGGAGGCAATCTTCCCAAAAGGAAAAGAAAGTTCCCAAATGCAAGGTGAGGCGAGGTGGGCTCAGGGCAGCCTTACAGACAAGGGGGGTAGTGGGGGGTGGCGGGGGAGGGCGCACTGGGCCTCTGGTTTTTCAGGAGTGGACACAGTGAAGAATCTAGAAGCCCCAAACTTCTGCCTCTCTCCTCCACTTTTGTTTTCCTCCTGTAATCCGCCCATTATTGTACCAAATTCTGCCATTTCTTTTTTTTAAAATATATTTTTATTGACTTCAGAGAGGACGGGAGAGGGAGAGAGATAGAAACATCAATGATGAGAGAGAATCATTGATTGGCTGCCTCCTGCACGCCCCATACTGGGAATTGAGCCTGCAACCCAGGCGTGTGCCCTAACTGGGAGATGAACCGTAATCTCCTGGTTCATAGGTCGACGCTCAACCCCTGGGCCACACTGGCCGGGCTGCCCCTTCTTTTTGGCTTTTGGGGCCTGGTGTAAGGCTAAGTTGCTGGCCTCATCAGAACGCAAAGGTCATTTTAGAAGGCTTTTCTGGAGAAGGACCAAGTCCAGAAGGAAAGCAGGCTGGGTGTTAGGCAGAGCACACTGAGCAGTGAAGCTCTGGCTCTTGCTTTCATGTTCTCTTCCTTTTCCATCTGGAAGCAGGCAAAAAGATGGTCTCAGCTTTGTTTGTTTTTAATTATGGTAAAATATCTGTAACAAAATTTACCATTTTAACCATTTTTAAGAGTACAGTTATGTGGCATTAAGCACATTCACATTGTTGTGCAACCATTACCCCATCCATCCGCAGAATTCTTTTCATCTTGCAAAACGGAAATACTGTTCCTGATAAATACTAATTCCTCAGTTCCCCTCCCCCCAGCCCCTGGCAGTCCCATTCTATTCATATAAGTGGCACCATACAGTATTTGTTCTTCTGTGTCTGGCTAATTTCACTTAGTATG